GTTGTATACAACTGAAGAAGCTATGAATGGATGATCATCTCATATCCACCTCTCTGCTACTTCTACTATCTCTGGTATATATGGCACCTCCATATTTGACTGAAGAAGCCTACAGAGCAAGGGAAACACTTCAACAATAAAGATACTCAACTGTTGCCAATCTGTCTTACTCATCTTTTGTTCACTGTTTTTGGTAGCACCTTATTGCATTCACAAAAACTAAATGTATTCAAAATTTCTAAGCCTCAAATTACATAAACAAAACAGGCTCTACTCTTAACTTATGAAACCTACACATGACAACACAATAATGTTGCAATAAATACATACTCAAGCTGAAATAAACAAGGGATCCAAATTACTCACCTTTCTTCCCAAATTTGAGGACCATTTGCAAATATCAAATTAACAGTAGAGCTGTAGATTTGGACATTGTATACCTGAAAAAAAGTTCATAAATTGGCCACAGAAAATGTTCACAGTTAAGTCTGTACATCTGCATTAACAGTGAAAAACATTTCATTATGTAGGGCATCCAGTATAATACAGTACACAGGTAGGGAAAATGGAGATAGTTTAAACTATTTTATTTTGACTATCAATGGTAAAACATAGTAAACAAAGTTTTTTTTTCAATAAACTGGCAGTATCCTACAGGCAGGGTTGACATTAAAAAGAAAAATGAAATTTACCGTAAACGGTCCAAACGTATATATACGTTTTTTTCACATTGGAAATGTATGTAAAAAACGTAGATCTTCTTTTTGTTTTTCTACATTTGAAAATGTGTAAAAACTTTGATCTACTTTGTTTTTTTTTGTTATATTTGAAATATGAAAAAAAAAAAAAACTTTGATCTACTTTTTTTTTTGTTATATTTGAAAATATGTAAAAAAAACTTTAGATCTACTTTTGTAGCACTAACATGCGAACGTAGATCTGCTTGGACCATTTACGGGTTAAAAAGAAAAACAAAAGTTTTTCTTTTTAAAATTAGTAATTTATACAGGAGAAGGGGTTACTAGCCCTTTGCTCCCAGCATTTTTAGTAACCTCTGATGACATGCATGGTTATTGGAGGAAGAATTCTTTTCCACTTTCCCATGGAGAAAGTAAACTAGTCTGAGTACATATTTCATGAAGGCCCACTGATAGTATCCACAGCTAAAGTTACAATCACAACAGTATAAAATGAAAAGATAAAGAAGCCTTCATTGCATTTATGGATTTAGAAAAGGCATATGACAGGGTGGATAGAAGAGCAATGTTGTAGATGTTGCAAGTGCAAGGAATAAGTGGTAGGTTGCTTAAAGCTATTAAAGAGTTTTTATGGAGGTACTGAGACTCAGGTTAGGGTATGTAGGAAAGAGGTTGATATTTTGTGGTAAAGGGAGGCCTTAGACAGGGATATGTGATATCACCATTGTTGTTTAATATTCATAGAAGGTGTTGTAAAAGAAGTGAATGGTAGGATGTTGGGAAGAGGTGTGGGATTAAAAGACAAAGAATTTAATGCAAAGTGGGAGTTCTAAAAACTGCAAAGGTTGGTAGACAAATTGGGGAGGGTACGTAAAAGAAGGAAATAGAAATTGAACATAGGAAAGAGAAAGGTGATGAGAGTAATAAAAAATTTAGATTAATGAAAGAATAGTATCAGGGTTGAAAGGAGTGGACTTGTCTGCAAAAGAGTCTATGAATTGACAAGTAGACAACCATAAGTTGTGCAATGCGCATCTGTGGAAGCAAAAAAGGGGCTCTTTTTTTTAATTTTTTCTAATTAACACACTGCCGACTCACCAAGGCAGGGTGGGCCCCGGATAAAAAGAAAAATCTTTCATCATCAATCACTCCATCACTGTCTTGCAGTTTAAAAACCGTAGTGCTTTAACTACAGTTTTTAACTGCAACATTACTCCCCTCCTTCAGAGTGCAGGCAACTGTATTTCCATCTCCAGGAACCTCAAGTCCGGCCTGCTGGTTTCCCGAATCCCTTCAGAAATGTGACTTGCTCACACTCCACTCAGAACGTCAAGTATTAAAACCATTTGTCTCCATTCACTATCAAACACGTAATCGCATGCCTGCTGGGAAGTCCAAAGCCCCTCGCACGCAAAACCTCTGTACCCCCTCCCACTCAACCTTTCCTAGGCTGACCCCTACCCACGCAATCCATTCCACTACAGACTGATACACTCTTGAAGTCATTCTGTTTCGGCTCCATTCTATTACATGTCCGAAACACCTCAACAAAACCCTTCCTTCTGCCTCTGGACAACAGTTTTGGTAATCCCGCATCCTCCTAATTCAAAAATACGAATTCTCTGATTATTATTCACACCACAACATTGCCCCAGACATGGACATCTCACTTGCCTCCAGCCTTCTCCTCACTGCTACATTCATCACCCATGCTTCCACACCCATATAAGAGCGGTTGGTAAAACTATACTCTCATAAATTCCCCTCTTTGCTCCAAGACTAAGTTCTTTGTTCCACAGATCTAAGTGCACCACTCACCCTTTTCCCCTCATCAATTCTATGATTTGCCTCATCTTTCATAGACCCAATCCGGCTGACACGTCCACTCCCAAATATCTGAATACATTCACTCCTCATACTCTCTCCCTCCAGTTTGATATCCAATTCTTTCATCACCTAATCTTTTTGTTATCTCATAACATTACTCTTTCCTGTATTCACTTTTAATTTTCTTCTTTTGCATACCCTACCAAATTCATCCACCAACCTCTGCAACTTCTCTTCAGAATCTCCCAAGAGCACAGTGTCATCAGCAAAGAGCAACTGTGACAACTCCCACTTTATGTGTGATTCTTTATCTTTTAACTCCACGCCTCTTGCCAAGACCCTCGCATTTACTTCTCTTACAACCCCATCAGAGTATATTGGTACCAACACTCTTGTATGGGCATTTGATAGAGTTCCGCACCAAAGACTGTTGAAGAAAGCAAGGAAGCAAAGAGTGTCCATAAATGGGGTTAAATCCGAGTGGGGATCAGTAGCAAGTGGCGTTCCACAGGGGTCAGTCTTGGGCCCGTTGTTGTTTATAATATATATCAATGATCTTGATGAAGGAATTACTAGTGATATGAGCAAATTCGCCGATGACACGAAGATAGGTAGGTCCAAGCCATAGTTCTATGCCTTGCCCACTGGGTACAAGAATTTTCAATTTTTTTTTTCTTATGAAATGGTAGAGAATCTTTTTCTGAAGATAATAAAACAAAAAGTATGAAATTTGATGGAAAATTTACGAAATTACACTCTTGTGAATTTTACTGTTTCAGCGCCCCCCCAAAATTTCGCAACGGTGATTTTGCCCACTTTGACTCCTATTTTAGGCCAATTACATTATAGCAATCAACCAAATTCTTAGCAATTTTGCTAGTATTACTTCTATTTTATCGACTGAGCACAAAAAACTGCCCAATCAACTATTTCAACTACCCAATAAAGTGATCAGAAATTGGTAATTTGGCCAATTTCACACAAAGTTCAAATATTCCAATTTCAAAATAGGGTCCAGAATAAACAATGCAGGTATTCCTGGCACTAAAATAACATTTCCTCTGTTTATTAGTTATGTTTCTAAGGCTTTAAAAAATGAATTTTTTCTTTCATTTTGATTTTTTATTCTCATAGAATTTTCATTTACACCAAAAAATAGAAGATTTACTGTTATGCAATAGTGTAATAATTGTATAAACAATATCAGCGCATTTGTGAACGTATATTAGACCCACCAGTTGAAGTGTAATGGATGCGTGACATTTGTTTACTCTTGAACATCAGCAAAAGTCGAACATTTGTACTTATTTGAGCTCAATTTCAAGCTATTTTCAGTACTAAAACCATTCAAAATCATCTCTATTTCTGTAGTATATCTTCCATTCCATCAAATAAGACCAAGAAACCGCAAATACAACTGTAAAAACCATATGAAAATACAATGCAAAGCCGTTCTTTTAATCCAAAAACACCATCACAGCTTTTTTTTCTCATTATGCAATGCTTGCTGCAGGATTTGTTATATATAGTGCACACTTACCACATAAATCCATTCTCTCATATCTAGGCCCAAATTTACAGCTCACCGTTTATCTGAGTGAGCTGAGCTCTTGGCATAGAACTACGGCTTGGACCCAGTGGACAAGGCATATAACTATTGCTTGGACCCTCAAAGGATTAAGTGCTGCAGTAAGGAGGGGGCTAGAGTGCAGTTTGAGAAGCAATGTGTGGTGTGAATATTATTCAATAATTTGTAGTTTGGTCAGGAGGCACAGGGTTACTAGAAGTATTATCAAGAGGAGTGAGGAGGGCTATTGAGGTAGTTTGGACATTTAGAGATGATGGAGCAAAACACGATGACTTGGAGGGTATATAAATCTGTAGTAGAGGGAAGGAGGGGTAATAGTCATCCTAGGAAAGGTTGGTGGGAAGGGGTAAAGGAGGATTTGTATGTTAGGGGCTTGAACATCCAGCAGGTAAGTGTGAGTACTTTAGATAGGAGTGGAGGCAAGTGGACTTTATGACTTGACGTGCTGTTGGAATGTGATTAAGGTAACATTTATGAAGGGATTCAGGAAAACCAGTTAGACAGACTTAAGCCCTGGAGGTGGGAAGTACAGTGCCTGCACTCTAAAGGAGGGGTGATGATGTAGTTTAGAGGACCATCTGACCAGTAATGCTGGCACACCTCTAGCAAGACAAGTGATAGAGTGATGGTGAAAGTGTTTCTTCTTTTTTTTGGGTCACCCTACTTCAGTAGGGGTCAGTGTTAAAAAAAAAAAAAAAAAAAAAGAGGCTACCAGTCACAGCCAAGGCTACCATGAAATAGTTACTGGCAATACCCAATTATTAACATGAACAAGTTACTAACATGAACTAGTTACCAGGATAAACTAGGTACTAGAATGAACATAAGGAAGCAATAAAGGGTTCTCAAGCAGCATCGTAATATTTTAACAATTATTTTATACTCACAAGGCTACAGTTATAAACTCAAGTGACCACTGAGAGAGGCCTATATCAATGCCAGCAGCTGCTCCAGGAGGTAACAATCTCCTCCAGTAAACATCCCAAGGAAGTAATACCCTGGGTATACCTGTTACCAAAGTGTAGGTTGCCCGAAACAACCCCGCCAGCATAAACTTCATAAACAGGTGCACTATTACTACTGTTAAGGGAAACTTGAAGTCCTGAAAATATACAAAGATAATGTTAGGAATGGTTACCTATTAATGGTTCTGGGGATTATCTTCCCCACAGTCTGGTCTCAGATTAGGTCTCCTAGGTTAGAAAAGAAATATTACAGAATTAAGAGCTAGATGAAGAGCACACACAAGAGTAAAGGTATGTGTATGAATATAAGTACCGCAGGACTGTCGTATCCGTGGGTCTGGTTTCCATGGTGGCAGTTCTTCAAAGCCTAGGAGAATATGTGAAGTGCTTCCCATCAGTGAAAAAGTGCTAATTCTCGACTTACTGTGCATAATGTATCTATTAAATGAAAAAGACTTATGTATATAGGGTTCTCAACTATCGGCGGTTTTGGGTATCTGCGGTAGGCCTTGGAACATATTCCCCACGGATATGGGGGTCCTACTGTACGAGTTTTTAAATCATGCCTGTCATCTTATACATTCATGAGACAACGAAAAGATTAGTAATCCTGCCAAGGTTCAAAAGCTTATCTGCTTTTCATTTTGCACTTATTTAATAGGTCAGCAGTACATACTGTACTTCCCTGGATTGTTGCTGTCTACTAACCAATGCATAAACAAAATTTACACATGACATGCTAATGTATATCTGTGATGCCTTGTTACCCTCTGGGAAACCTGTTCTGGAAAAGGGGGTGAAAAAGGAAAGTGCCTTTTTTTGTGCCCACTTCCAGTATCTCAATTGAAGACCAACAGCTGTTAAAGCAAACACTCAGGTTTCAAGTTCAACGAGGAATCAAGAATATGTTTGCAACACGAAGCTTTTTTTAACAATATATGAACAGGAGAAAAGATACTGCTGTAATCCATTTTCAAAGGAAAATCACACTTTTAAAAAGAGCCTTAAAATTCTCAACTGCAGATAAGCAATATTAATGTTTTTTTGAAAATCAGCAAGGTCAAAATCTGCGATCAGTTGTCATGACACTTTTTTGACAACTTTAAGCTTAATTTGCAAAATAAATATCGGTCCCTATCAATTCAGATAATAATTTCTGAAATAACCACCGAAAATTGTATAAGGGCACTTAAACACGAAGTTCTAGCTGTTGTTGCTCTACAATAACAGCAACTGAAAAATACCTGGTTTTCAGTATAATGCTGTGCAAGCCAAAAATCACCTTATTTTAAGTCCTGTTTTCTCCCTTCAAGGGCAAAATGCCTATTCAAAAAATAGATATCTTGTAGTTTAAAATCTGATCTTTCTAATGAAGGTTTTTAAGAAAATTGGTTGTTGCTTTTTTCCTATTGATCTTCAAAAATGGCCTAATCTTCACCATGAGGTCTGTGAGGGCATTTGTAGGCACATTAGAAGGAAAGTTTTGTTTTTTTTTTTAAACCCTTAAATGGTCCAAACGTATATATACGTTCACTCGCGCAGCGCCCCGAATATTTTGAAAAAAAAGAGCACATTTTTTAAAGTATTTTAGAATAAAAAAAAAATTTAGGGTCAGTACTTACTGAGATATGAGGCCGAGAAGTTGGCACTGGATGCTCATGTGACAGCAACATCGAGTCCTGCCGCTTGGCAGAAGAAGTTTTGCAATATACCTTTTTTTCTATTTTTCATATTATTTTTTGTAATTTTTAAGTTCTGATAATTACATTTGTAGAGTTCTTGTCCCCTGGTTCATTTTTTTTTTTTTTTTTTTACATAACCCAATCTTTTTCTACACTAGTATTAGGTACTGAAATTGTACTTAAATTGTCACAAATCTGTTTACAATAATGTCTTATCACTGATTTCATCATTGCTTAGTTAATCTTAAGCCAGCCCGTAATGCTATGCTATAAGTGGCTTTGGCATGCTGCTCTTACCTGTATTTTTTTGTACCTCTGTATGTATGTAAAAATACTAATAATAAACAAACACACTGACAGGAAGGAGGTGGAAAAGGAGGAGGAGGAGGATCAAGGAAGAGGGGGAAGAGTTGAAAAAGGAGGAGGAGGAGGAGGAGGAGGAGGAGGTGGTGGTAGGAGGAGGAGTGAGGAGGAGGAGGAGGTGGAGGAGGAGGAGGAGGAGGAGGAGGCGGAGGAGGTGGAAGGAGGGAGGAGAGGAGGAGGAGGAGGAGGAGTGTGGAGGAGGAGAGGAGGAGGAGGAGGAGGAGGAGGACGGTGGGGAGAGGAGCGGGAGGAGGAGGAGGAGGAGGAGGAGGAGGAGGAGGAGGGAGGAGGCAGGAGGAGGAGGAGGAGGAGGAGGAGGAGGAGGAGGAGGAGGAGGAGGAGGAGGAGGAGGGAGGAGGAGGAGGAAGGAGGAGGAG